TGTTTATTTAGAAGATTATACAATTTCCTTTTCTCTGCTTCATGTTGGTGTATCAATCTGAGGACAGGGTGGGGTGCTTAGCAGTTCCCTAAATAAAATCCTACCCAACTTGCTGGTGGGGAGCTTTCCACACATAGTGAATTCCTGATGATCCTGCAAGGTCAGCTCATTTCACCCCCATGAGGCCAACAGCCAACTTCTGCCCCAGATCAAGGCCATCTGCTCCTTCATTTGTGTCCCCTCGCTCTCTCCTCCATACTGCCCACATTTAACCAGAGCCTGTGTGTTGTGTGAAGTGCCTGTGCTCCATAGCACAGAGAGGGATAATGCCAGCACTGGCCAGGAGGAACTCTCTCTGATACTGTGACGACTCGCTGGCGTGGGGAAACAGTCACAGCTTGCCTGAGTAGACTCACTGTAACTCCTCAATCTCCCCAATCGACTCATGTCAGCCAACAGGAACCATGCCTCCATTAGCTCTCAGATTCTGCTGCCTAGAAAATTCAGAGCACCCTGCTGATGCCCCATGGATGTGTAAGTGAAACAGAAAAACAAGACAAACAAAAATCAAAGCAACAGCGCTTCCAAAGGCAGAGTAGCTGTTAATGGCGAAGTAGCCAAACAAGTTGCTGCAATGGGCATGTGTTAAAAAACTCCTCTAGCAGCAGGATAATCCCAAACCCAGACTGTCAGAGAAAAAGATGTAAGCAGGTGACCTATACTGAAATAAAGCTCTGACCAGAGCACACAGACCTAGAGAAACAGCACAAAGATTCACAGGCTGAGCTGCAAAGCCACTCTTAGGAGCACACCCAGTGTGGCTGCTGAGTCTCCAGCAGAGAGCGATTTGGCCCGTCCCTCCAAACAGCAACAAACCCCCACAGGATGAGCTCTCTTATCCTCAACATTCAGCTGCCACTGAAGACTGAGTAGAAAATCATTCAAAGTGTTTCAAATGAAAGACTCTGAATGACACAGTTTCATTACAAGCTATTTGCTCTGTCCAGGTAGCAAATCAAATCGAAAACAATGTACCAAGTTATATCAGCAATTTTCTTTCATTTAATTGCTATTTCCTTCTTCTGGCCACTAAAGTTTCATGTGCTTTGCTTGATACTCTAACAGTATCACAACAACCAAGAACTACAGAAGCAAGGGAACCAGAAAGTAAGGAACACAGCCGCTGATGAAATGTGCTCTCAAAAAACCAGTTGTAAATTACCAATTTACAAGCTGACCCTTGCCAGAGCTAGCAAGGAATCACTTTACTGCAGTAATCAATCCTCCCACATAGTAAAAGACCCTGCGTGTATCTCTGGCCTAGTGGCTAATTCACTGGTGTGGCAAGTTAGTCTGATGTCACCTGTCAGACACAGAGAGTGACACCCATCAGTGCTATTTATTAGTCACTTACAATTTGATCTCTCCTTGTATTAAATTATACTCATGTCAACAGGATGTCTTAACATGTGTGCCCTGGATCTGACACAAGGTCTCTAAGAAAACTGTGTCTAACCCACATAAACCCTGGGACTCCGGACACCAGTGAGAAGAGCCTACACAGGCTGAGAAAGCCCAGTGAAGCATCCTGGGAAGGTGGACTGTTTCCACCCTTTCACCCTAGAGCTCTCAAGTTAGGAATCAGGAAAATCAACCACACACGTCTATCCAGAGCCTGCATGTGTGTGTCTGAAAATAAGGTTTTGACCAGTTTGCTTTTGCCTGTGCTAACAGAGGCATCTCATAGGACAGGGAAAATATTCACCATAATACCAATTTTAAAGTAACTTTTCCTACAGCCAACTCAAAATCTAATAGGTGTTAGACAGAAAGCGTCTGTAGGTGTCGGCACCTCTAATTCCCTTTATGATCATTAACTCCAAAACATTATGGCCTAGATTTAAAGGAAGTCAAAAAGTCTGGTGTCTAGAGATGCTGATGGTGTTTTGGTCTGCAGAGGTTTAAACCCCGGGTGGTGAAAACAGCTGGGAACTGGCAAGGCCTGGGTTTTGCTACTGTTTAGCCAAGCTTGGGTTTTGCTCTGACACAGCAGCCGGCGGCATGCAGCTATAAAGAGCCCCTGACCTCACACTTCACATTTCACAACAAGCTCCATTATCCCTTCCTAAAAATCAAATTCCTGAGACCTGAAAAGCCACCTGAGCCCCAAAGTAAGCTTGGGCAAGGCAGGATGGGCCGGCCTTAGCAATACTCACAAAGAGAAAACAAGAGATACTGTGCACCCAACCATAACATGAGAGCAAGACTTTCATATAACGCTGAAATTCTGGACAACTGATACCCTTTAAGAGCTATTTTATTAATTATGTGCATTTGTGTGTTGTATGAGTATGTACATGCGTGCAGGTGCACGTGGAGGCCAGAGGCATCAGATCCCTCTGGCGCTGGTGTCCCGGGCTGTTGTGACCTGCCTGATGTGGGTGCCCTGCAAGAAGAGTTATGTATGCTTAACCACCTCTCTCCACCTCTGCTCCAACAACTGACATGCTCAGAAACAGATACATGAAAACCAGAACAAGCAAAGAAACCCCACAGGATCCGAACAAAATCATAAGGCCCGAAAGCGGGAGTCTGCAACACTGGCTGTGATGGCCACAGAACAAGGCTGCTCCCGAGTCTGGGGGACACTGACCTGACACTTCAGACATTTACCAATGACAAAGACTTTACCTGGATGAAAGGTTGTAGCGCTTTATACACACACACACACACACACACACACACACACACACACACACACACACGAGATCCAGAACTTTAGAATAAACTAAGGCCACAGAGTTCTGTGTATATGTGAATGCTATGACCCAGAACACTTTTTTTTAAAGAGAGAGAGAGAGAGAGAGAGAGAGAGAGAGAGAGAGAGAGAGAGAGAGAGAGAGATGCTATTTTCAGTTTGCCCCCCTCCCACCCCCATTTCTGAGACAGGGTCTGATGCAGCCCAAGCCTCACACTTGATATATACCAGAGGTCGATCCTCCTGACTGTACTTCCCAAGGGCTGGGATTAGAAACACATACCATCATTCCCAACTTGTGGGTTTTCTACATGACCACCCATAATGTTTGTGGTGATGGTCTGTCCACAGAGATAAGCAGGAAGATCATTACTATTAAAAACTTGCACCCCTAGGGGGCAAACTTCCAACACGCTTAATACCTTCACTACTGCAAACCCACTTTCAAGAGTTTGTCCCAGAGGACTCATCAAAACCTCAAATGCTTTTAACTTGTGTCCAGGTGCAGCTGAAGCATACTCATGCCAATCACGTCTCTGCTTCTCCCCATCTCTGTAAAACAGGTACTTATCTGGAACCCAGGCACCTAATTACACAAAAACAGAGATGCAAACCTGCTGTTAGAGTAAGCAGGGGCCTTTCAATTCGCACTTCCTCTGTGCAGTGACAACAGCCACTTCATGCAAAGCAACCCTTTTTCTTCTTCATTTATTTATTTTCAGAGTGAACTTGCTGAATGGCACTGTGGTACATGCAGGGAGGTCAGAGGACAGCCTGTGGGAGTTAGTCCCCTGTGGGAGCTATCACAGAATCACCAGCTTGGTGGCGAGTGCCTTTACCTGGCTGAGTCAATCTCACTGGCCCCCAAAATAACCGTTACCACTTTCTAACTCTTTAAAAGCATGTCGCGAGGGAGGGACAGTGAGAGGGATTAATGATTAGAGTGGAACAAAGTGCTGCAAGGCGTGTTACAACTAGACAGGCAAGGCAACTCGACCAACCAAGGCTGGTGACAGGTAACTTGAGAGCAAAGGAAACAAGCAGGCAAGCACGCCACGGCAGGGTTTGCTCCAACCCTTCTCTTCTCTAGCACATTCCTAGGACCACAGGCAGCCATGAGAAGATTTTGCCTTCCATGGGTCCTCTGCCAAGGTTGGTTGTGATGTGGGCCTGGACCTAGGGCAGTCAGCTAGCCTGTGAGGTCCAGCTGGGAGAAGCCCTTTCCAGGATGGTGGGAGCCAGCTGATACTGTAGGAATCACCATCCTCCATTGCTTCTACCTTTGAGGCCATTAGCAGCGCCTTTTTGTCCCCAGAAGCCCGATTACAGAACTGCCCTAGTAAAATACCCACTCCCCACACACATAGTGGTGTAGCAATTACTCATCCATGCGCCGTCTTTTCCCTCCAGGTGATATGCAGAAACCAGATCCATGTTTTGTGGTTTCAAGAGGCTGCTGACCCCCAAATGCTATCTATCATATGGCTAATTCACCGCTTCCAGTATCTGCCCCCCAGAGACTTCTCCACAAGGCCCCAGTAGACATGTAAGAGACAAGCGAGCTCTGAAGTTTTCAGGTGGGCTGCGGGACTGGCCCCTCATTTCCTAGCATTCATTACCCAGCTTGCTTTCTCCAGTGACATGTGGAGACAGAGCGGCCTGGATGCCTGTCATCTGTTCTCATCAGCTATGAGCTGACTCCACCAAAAGCTCCACAGAGTAGGGTCACCCAAATCAGCCATTACAGCACTCAGATGGTGGAACCAACAGCAGCCTGCTGCACTGAAGAAGGGAGGCAAGGATCAACTCAAAAGGAATGTGGGTTCCTCGTGGCTGGCCAGGAGCTGCACATGCCAAGCCCAGTCCAAAAACAAGGCTGCCATACCCCCGCCCCAATGCCAGTGTGGGCAAGGCTGTGCTCTAGCTCCACCCTGCAAACGGAGAGGGCTGATCCGGCAAGAGGGGCAGCAATTAGCCAAGCGATCTTACCCTTGTCAACTTCACTAAGACCATGTAACAGGCCCAGAACTGATAAAGCACATAAAGCCTGGGGTGACAGCATTCAGAACCACCCGTACTGCTGCAGTTCACACCCTTGGGACCACTGGCCGGCTAGACACCAGGGAAAGCAGGTGTCCCGTTCCCTCTAAAGCCCCAGTATCCTACACTGCAGGCTGCTTGAGCGCAGGCCCAGCCCCCACCGGCCTGTGCAAGAACCCTCCCCCCAAGGAGGGCTGCCCACCTCTGCGAGGGGACCCCTCGATGCTCTCTGCGCTGGACGACTGCGTGTCGGCCGGGGCCCGCCGCAGGCTGAAGTAACCGCGGGAGCGCAGGGCGCCGCTTCGGGGAGAGGGCCCGCCATCCCTACGCGCAAAGATGCCGCTGAAAAAGCGCAGCAGCCGGTGCTCCGAGGCTGCTCCGGGGCCGGCGGCCGCGGCCCGCGCCCGCTCTAGCCGCTGCAGGTCGCTGTTGTCCAGCGTGCGGTTCTTGCTCTTGCTGCGCTCCCAGCGCTCCAGATCCGAGAGCGCATCGTTCTTGCTGAGCACCTCGCCCACATCCAAGGTGTTGCGCTTCTCCGCTACGGGCTGCGCTCCGGCCACTGGCTCCGGGGAGGCCTCCGCCTCGACCTCGTCGTCGGGCGCCCATGCCAGGCTCCCGGAGCTGCTGTGGCGCCTTCCGCCGCTCAGCGCAGGGCTCCGCGGCGCCTCGGGCTCGCTCCAGTGCCTGAAGCTGAGGCTCCGCCGCAGGGGCGCGGCCCGAGCCTCCTCCACGTCGGGGCTGCTGGGCCGCTCAGCCGAAGGGCTGCCCATCAGGTCTGCAGGCTCCGCGCCGCGTGTGCACGGCCGTAGCCGCCCGAGCTCCAGCTGCCCGGTGCTGCGTGTGCGGAAGGCGCGGAAGTCCCAGGCGCGCGGCCCGGCCTCAGGATCTTCAGCCGCCGCCTCCTCGGCCTCCTCTTCCAGCCGCCCAGGAGCGTCCGGGGAACGCGCAGGCCGCGGCCGCCGTGTGGGGCGCGGAGTCGGAGCGGCCAGCTGCTCCTTCCTGACCATGGTCACCGAGATGCGGTAGACCGTCTTCCTGGGGGGCGTCCTGCGGGGCATCGCGTCCGCGGGAGGCGACGCGGGCTCGCCACTGCCGTCCAGCAGGTACATGTCCCCAGGGTCCGCGGCCACCGCGCCGCCCTCCGAGGCTCGACTGCATCCAGCGCCGCCGGCCGTCGGGACGCGCGCCGCGGGCGCAGAGCCGGCCAGGTGCAGAGCCCTGGTCGGTAGGGAGCGGCGCCCACGCCCCCCGCGCGCAGCGAGGCCCACGCTTAGGCTGCGGGAACAGCGCCCCTGGAGTCCGCCTGCCCGCGCGCCACGCGGCCCGAGTACCGGGGTCCGCGCTCGGGGAGCCGAGCCATGGGGGACCCGGCGGGCGCTCAAGCGCGGAACCCGCCTCGCCGGCAGGTGCGGCCTGAGCGCGCAGGGCCCACTGCGGGCGGTGGCGCCCGCGGCTTCATTGTCTAGGGCGCAGGGTCCAAGCGCATCCCTCGGCCTTTTCTTGCACAGCTCGGCGGTCCCGCAGCCTCAGCCTCTTCCGGGGATCCGGGCGCGCGGTTAGCTCCGCCGGCCGCGGACGGTCGAGGGGCGGGTGGCGGTTTAAAATGGAAATGCGCGCCGGGGCGGGGCGGGGCGGGCGGGCGGAGGCCGACGTGCGGAGACTGCAGGCCGCGCGCCCAGCGGGGCCTGCGGGTCCCGGGAGCGCGGAGGCGGCCGCAAGCGCGGCGATGGGAAGGCCCAAGAGCCGGGCTGGATTCCCGCCGCGCGGAGCGGATCAACCCCTTGCAGTAAAGCTATACCAGTCTCCAGGACCTGCTGCAGGGTCATGTGAGGCCTCGGCTATCCGTGCAGTTTAGAAGATGAAACTCAAATGACTTGCTGGAAAAGTACTCCCGAGGCTGAGACAGGAGAATCGTGAGTTTGAGGCTAGTAATTCCAGCCTACCCACCCACACGGAAAGGCCAGATCTCATCAAGAACAAAGATTTCTTTGAACTGTTACCCTCTACCAGTTAATTCCTAGAAATCAAGAAGAGCAGGAGAGATGCTCAGTAAAGAGTACTAACTGCTCCTAGAAGATCACATTAGATTCCCACAACCCACAAAGGGGATCACAATCATCTCTAACTCCAGTTCCAGAGGATCTGATGCCCTCTTATGACCTCTAAGGGTGCCTGTTTGTACTTGGTACACATAAATTCAAGCAAACACTCAAAAATAAAAACTTGTAAAAGACAACAATAACAACAACAAAAACAGTTGCTCCCTGGGCCTGTGTGTCTCTAAGATAATTTATAGGAATATTTTCCAAAATCTAAGTCTGCAGCAGGCTTAGTGTGTCTGTCTTGCCAGGCTCCTCTCCTTCCTGACCATCTGGGTTCTCCAACTGTAGGATGGAGAGAACACTGCTTAGCTTAGATTAGCACGTTTGGGGTGACTGGAGCTGGCGAAAACAATATGAGCCAGGCATGTTCATATTTAAAAGTTGTATTTCCCTTCATTTCCCCTACTTATTGCCCCTCACCTTCCACACGTGCTCATATGTGGCCCCACCCCCATGTACTACAGGATTTATATGCGGTCGCAGGCCAGTTCTTCAGACCATCCTGAACATAGATGCACTGCTGCTGCCATCTTGTTTACGGGTTCCAGGAGGAAAATGCATTTTCTATCTATACAGTGCCACTAACCAGATGCGGGAGGGGGGCTTCTCTTGCCCTGAAAAGGACAGAGTTTCCTGAAGGGTATATCTAAGCAAGATGTAGGTGGCTGTGAAGATCAGGCATTTCTCAGGTCTCGCCAGCTAGTCATTCTGTAATCTCATCACAAAATTTTGGGAGTATCTTTTGTGTTCATGTCAGTAAAAGTGGTTGTAAGAATGAACGGGCCCTGTCTCCTGAAAGAGATCGCAGTGTAAGAAACCAAGGTTTTAAAGAAAAATTATCAGAAAAGTTTCTATATGATTCATTTACTTATTGCTTACATGTGGGTAAGCATATATATATGGGGGGGCATGTGTGTGCTGTGTGTGCGCAAGCACGGAAGCATGTGTGCATGTGAAGACCAGGGGTTGATGTCAGCATCCTTCCTCAGCCCTTCTTCATTTTATACATTAAGCAGGGTCACTCACTTGAACCCAGAACTTGATTCAGCTAGTCTAGCCAGATTGGGGGATTCCAGGGATCCCCAATCTCTGTCTCCCAAGCGATGGGATTATAGGTGGGGTACCACATCCACCTGATGTTTAAGTGGGTACAGGAGTCCAAAGTCCTTGGGTCTGTATGGCAAGCACTTCCCCCACTGAGCCATCTCTCAACCTCCTTTTTTTTCTTAATACGTGTGAAAACATAGCTAACTACCATCAATGGCTTCTACCTCAATTATATGACCGACCATCAGCCATGGGCAAGGTATACCTTCTGTTGAAACTCTTGGTTTCCGTAGTGGATCTTCAGACACATCATTCAGAGGTTAAGGCCGTCTTACTCCCTGTTTGACTAAAGCAACTCTCTCTGACAAAACCCAAGAGGCACCAACCTTTCTAGGGTGAAAGCCAGGCATTAAAATGTCTAGATCCGTCCCCTTAGGAGGATGTTGAGGCTCAGAGAGGGTGGGGACAAGCCCCCAAGACTACACAGCTCCTGGGGTAAGAATGGAACTTTGCGTCAGAATCTCAGGGCTGACACCTGCGCTAATGTCTTTTGTCCCAGCAGCTTTATTAGCATGAAGAGCAAACAAAATGTGAACTGGCCTAGAGGCCATCAAAAACTAAACAAAAACCCTGATATTACCAGGAAGTATTATTAACATCTCTTCTATTGGTTCATCAAAGTGTGTGTGTGTGTGTGTGTGTCTGTGTGTGTGTGTGTGTCTGTGTGTATAAGACAAGGTGGGGTCTCGCCTCAAGGAATTCACAAACTTATAAAAAATGATGTTTGTGATTTTAGGACTAAAAAGACTGTGGAGAACAGTGTCAGAGATGGCACAGTAGCAAGCACGCTGTCCAGCTAGTAATCAATACCACTAGGACCTGGCATCAGTCTAACCTTACAGCTGTGGCTGTATAGATGCCCAGGTAACCAGGTTTGCAAGACTGAGAAATAGGAGCTGCGCACTGTGGAAAGAGAACCTTGCCTTGCCAGTGGCAAAGGCAAAGGTAGGGATTCAACCCTGGCTCATTGGAGCCTGGGTCTAACCTCTCAGTGTGCAAGGATGGGGCTTCTTTCAAATGCCCATGTGAACCTTAATAATATCTACTGCATAGTGAAGCCAGGGAAAATACATTGTCCTTATTACCTGAGGCATACTTAGAGCCAAAATGAGGTGTTGGGGATGGGGCAGGGGTAAGTTTGCATTCCTTTAGAGCTTAAATACTAGTTAGTCTATGAGTGCCAGCTCATAATTCGTTCTTGGTATGGAATCCATCCCGGGTTTTGTGCTTTGCCATACTAGGATGCAGGCTGCAGAGTAGAAGAATCCATTCCATCCACCTCAGATGACACACAGTCTCCCAGGAAGACTGGGAGCACCCAGCCAGCCAAGCTGCTGCTCTCCCTCTCTCTCAGTACTCTCTCCCCAGGAGTAACCACAGGCTCCACACACCAGTTCTAAAGACTCCCTGAAGACCTCAATACCCTGGTCCCAGCACATGGCCTCTCCCCACAGCCCTGGAGACTTGGGCTCTCCCAGCCTCAGAAGACACAGGATCCTGAGCCTGTCACTCCAAAACCTAAATCCCCTGCACAAAGCCAGACCTGTCTCAGCTAAAAGAAAACACTTCACATGGCATGCTGAGTGTTCCTGGGGTATTTTGTGGGGTGTTCTTAAATGGATACCCCACATCTGTATCTTCCACATCATACAGCATAACGCACCACAACACACACACACACACACACACACACACACACACACACACACACACACACACAGAGTGTGTCCTTGATCTCTGCTCCATCCTTCAAAAGCACATGGGCAGGGCCTGAGCACTGCAGGGAGGAACTCAGCTGCCTAAATAAGAAGGCCCTAGAGGATCCAAATAGCCCTCCCAATGCCCTAAGCTTTAGAGGCGCCTCTGGCCACCCTCCATGACCTGTCTCCAGTGCCATTTGGAGCCGGCCATCAATTAAGCCTTCTTAATTCGTGAACATTACATTTTGCAAGTGTTGGTTAGGAGAGCCTAGAAGCCTTATTTAAAGGAGCCTCTCTGCTAGTCAGCAGAGGAACCATCTGCTTCGCAGGCCGACTTTCCAAAAAAACACAACTTGATAGCTAGTAATCAGGCTGTTTTTTAGATTCGTGTCTGCTGGCAGAAACCACCAAGCACGGTCCTACCCTGGCCTGGGCACAGACGCCCAGAGCCACAAAGAACTACTTGCTGGGTCTCAGGAGCTCCCTTCTGGTAACAGGCTGACAGGGAGATGTTGCAAAGAAAAAGACATGTGTATCTGACTGACACTTTCAGATCTCAACATGAGCCTCCATCCCATCATGAAGGCTTCAGAAGGATTTCTGATTTGAGATTTATTATGATACTCTGGATGGACTGACTGAGTACTGTCCCCACCTAGAGTCTGCAGGCTGTAGATCTGTAGGGGCCCCAGATTTTCATATTTATAAGCTGGAGGTTGCGAACAAAATCATGTCAGACATGCTATCCCAGAGGGACTGCAAATCTGAGGCCTGCTTGAGCCACAGAGTAAGTTCAAATTCCTCTGGGCAACTTAGGGAGACCCTGTCTGAAAACAAAAATACAGGGATAGTCTGCAGCTCAGTAGTCTAGCAGGTGCAAGGCCCTGGGTTCAGGGCCCATACCCATCTCCCCAGAGGAAAGAATGGAAAGGGAAAGCAAGCGTATCTGATCCAGGGGGCAGGCAGGAAAAGAAAATGTGCTCTTCTTCAGGGTGGGGACATGCTGAGCAAGCAGGGGGAAGGACCCTTCCTGAGTTGTTCCCTCATGCAGCAGCCACAATGCAAAAGCTGACAATAGGCCAGAGACATGGCTGAGTGTAGCCAGAACACCTGCCGGCAGTACGCCTCTGTGAGCTTTTCAATTGTACCTGGAGGTGCCTGGCTGTCACCTCAGTGACAATGCAACCATGTTTTAGACAATAACAAAGAAGGAAATCCGGTCAGGGTAGCTTAACCAAAACCAAATTTGGCTTGACCCCAGAAAGATGGGTTTTGACCCCCAATTCCTGTCAGAAAACAGCATGGTAGGGATGGGTGGGTACCAATCCCCCAATGTGAGGGAATGGACAGTGGAGGAGAAGGGACTTCTGTGTCCCTGATAGTATAGAGTCCAGCTCAGTAACCTCCAGATAAGGCCTTCCCAGGGATTCCTAGCTGTCAGGAAAGCACCACAGGAGGTGACAAACACCTGCAAGATGCAATGAGCAGGGAACATGCCCTCTATCTGCAGAGGGCTCCATCACCAAGCAGATCTGCCACTGTCTCCACCTGTATCCACCTGCTGTCACTGGTGGCATGTGTACTGAGGAGACCTGAAACAGCCCAGGGCTAGGCCCAGAGTTAGCTGTGCTGCAGGGAGAAGGGGAACTGACAGGGCAGAAGGTCACAGAGAAGTGACAGGGCACAAGGACACAGAAGGTGAGAAGCTGTGCACTAAGGCTGAAGCGAGCACAAAGCTCTGCAAGAAGGAAGCGGGTGGTGGCCATGGTGTGGGGCAGAGTAATGCTGAGAGGCCAGAGGTTCCAGGCCAGCCATCCTCAAGGCTGTGACACTCACTGAGCTGGCCAGTCCTTTGTCACAGAGCTTTCTTTCAGGCTGTGGAGCAGCAGGCCTGACCTCTACTCACCTGGTGCCAGCACTACCCTTCCCAGCGACAAATGTCCCCTGAGTGCTGTCAAATGTCCCCTGAGTGTGTACCTGCTCAAAGGCACATACAACACTGAGCAGGAACAACATGATGCTTCTCACACCTCCCCACCTCCGCAAGGGTTAACAGTACCGACAGCTCTTGTCGAGCTTTCTATAAGAGAGACTGCATTCTTTCCAGGAACTAGCCCCAAACAGAACATCAACAGTGAGAAGCAGGCCACCAAGTCATCCACCATCCTGTGAGGACAGACGGCTGCCCTACTGAAATTTCTCTGAATGAACAAGTATCTTGGCCATGAGTAAAACATGGGGAGGGATTTTATAGAAGTCTACGCCTAGGCAACAATACGCTCATCTAAAAA